CTCGGCGGAGCACTTAACGTTCGCTTCAAATTTATTGTACGGAACCCTGGACTGCTGCCACAGCCGACAGCGGTCTGGGTATTTACTGACGGTATTAGGTAACGTCTGAAGGAGTGCTTCTAGTTGGTTTTCAGATTCTAGAGATCGTCGGAGTTAGGTCAAGGGCCTCATAATCAGGCGCACTAGTGCATCTGAGGTCGTGAACTGTCTGTGAATGCGTCTGTACATCAACATGGTCAAGAATTTGTTGTGGGCCAGAGGGTGTGGTGGTATGTCCAGGTGCGGGTCCCTGCACCTGTCAACTGACCGGCTCGGACAGTGACTGGGGCCTGGGAATGGGAAGGTAGAGTGATGTCGATGACTCAGCGCATTTTCCTCCTCACTATAAACAATCTGACGCTCTTGAAGCTATCACGGTGCGCTAAAAGCCGTGGCTTGGAAGGCTGCCAACCGACGGGATAACTTGGGCCCCGCAGTCGGCACGGTGTTTGTGTGGAGCGGTTGGTTGGTGATCTAAGAGTCAGGCTGCAGTGGCTCCTTCTTAATGTGGCCTTTATGGCACTCTCACTCCGTGGGATCCGAGTCAGGTGTGACGGCACGCATAGGACGACTCCGGCCTCGCCAGACCCTATTTGCTGTTGTTGGTTAAAATCCTTGTCATTTGCTGTGTGGACCAGAGGGTGTGGAGTGGAGCGCTAAGGTGCGGGCTCGACCGTGCCATCCACCTTCGCCCTCCCTCCCCCTCCGGTCTTCTTGGCTATGTCTTGACACCGGGTCCAGGTGGGGGAGGAGGGGGTGCGGTAGATGCTGTGCAAGCCTACTACCACCGCGCCTGCCTCACCGTGTTGTAAAGCACATGGTGGACATCGTTGCCAACGACGGTCGAACTGTAAGATGCGGGTCCGGCCGTGCCATCCACCTACCCCCGCTTCCGTCCCCCGTCTTCTTGACATCAGGCCCTGGTGGGGGGGGGGGTGGTGGAGAGAGTGCGGTAAATACTGCGCAAGTCCACCATCATTATAAAAGAAATCACGCACAAGTCACATCACGTCTGCTCTCACCCAGCTGTGGAGCACACGGTGGACATCGTTGATCAAGTCAGTCGAACTGTCACGTCAAAATGACTCCTACAACAGGCTGCGCTGCACGTAGGCGTAACCAGACTGACTCACGGCACGCTCTCATATGTCAGTGCACTTCCCCATGACAGTCCGTCCGTCGATTTGACGATGTCCGCCGTGTGCTACACACAGGTAGGTGCAGCTGGCACGGTGACTTGCGCGTGAATTAGTTTATATTGATAGTAGACTTGCGCAGCATCTACCGCACCCTCTCTTCCCCACCCGGATCCGGTGTCTGGTGATACGTCTTGGACGTCGTCCTTCGCGCCGCCTCAGTCATTGTGTGCCACTTGAATCTATCTTGACCCGCAAAGAGTTCTGTCTTGAAAGGTTGCAAATTGACGGGATAAATTGGTCCCTTTCAGGTCAGACTGCAATAGCGCCTTCCCGGCGTGACCCTTGTGGCACTTTTGCCGCGATATGACATCTGAGCCGCCCCCATAGAAACTTGCTACATCTTGCGGGTATCTGGCCGTGTGTGTGGCACACTTAGATAGACTCTCTGTCTTCGTCAGCCTCCGCGTCCTCGCCCACCTCTGATCACCGTGATATTGCCTTGCAAGGTGGGTTGAGGAGGAGTGAGCGCGGCAGATGTTTCGCGTGACCAACGAAGTATCTGAGGTCAACACGTCTGCAGATTGCTCTGTATCTCAGATCAGAAAGTCTGGGTCACTTCATGCGGGCTCGTGCTGGACGGGTAGCGGTGCGAGTCAAAGAATTGTGCTGGAAAGTTGTACTGGAAAACTCCCGAGATCGTTTTAATATCGTAGCCTAGATGAGTACACTTGAATAGATCTTTAAGAGTATTTTTTGACCAGCAGTTCTTACGATTCCCTCCCGACTTCTCTGGGAGCTCGCAAATGATTTGACACCGTTCAATGTACCAAACATTAAATCCACAGTAGGTAGAGGATAGGGGTAATCGTTAATACAAGCTCAAGTGCGAGCCCCAGGAAACGGTTGAGCATCACACTCGGTTGCCGGATCAAGAGTATTTATCCGCCTGACGTTTCGGATTCGCGCTTGTATCCATCATCAGCGGCAGCAGATGCTTGCTTGACACATCTCACCTACGTTGTTTATCAGCATGGTAATTCCTCACCAATTTGGCTTGCCGATGCTGGCATTGAAAACCGTCTTCGTCCGCCTGTTATCTGTCCAAATAGGGGGAAGATCGCTGGCTAGTTGATGTACTGGGGACCATTGAACTGATGCATGGTCGGGGAAGCTCGCGGCCAACGCGACTGTCACCTCTCGCGAGCATTTCGACATCAATGAAATTATAGGTATGGCCGGATCCCATCGAGCGAGCCGCAACTCGGGAGTGGGAGATCCGATAGAGTTACTTTGCCCGCAACTTCATCAGATCCACTAAACAATCTCAGACACACCCTCCCGAGGCAGCAGGTCCTTCGGCCTCCTTTTTGAACGTCTGCGCAATCACAACCCCACGTGGCGTTAGAAGGCATTTGAAGATTTCTGAGACTTCCTTGATGTATGGGAGCGCTCGCTATAGTTTGGGGCCGTTGTAATTTGTTTTTCTGTCTCATTATACACTCACACTGGTTGACAGGGTTGTGTCGCAGCCATTCCCTCTGAGTACCCATTGAAGGTATTGCAATTAGGCAACCTTGTATTACTGTTCAATGTAATAGCTCCTGTTCCGACGTTCTGTCTCCTTCGCGATAATGATAACGAAGACAAAGATTGTGGCTGTTATGAGGATAATGACGGGTTCGCGCATGACACATAAGCGTCAGGTAAACAAAATTCATTGTCCAGCGATCGCGCCTTGTTTTCCGGAACTTTTATTCGACTATATCGGCACTATGAGATTAGTGTGTCTTTTTTCATTTCTCTTCGTCCTTCTGAGCTGCTGGCGCAGGTCCGGGTATTGACCCGGCTTACCGCCGCCCCGCACCATAATCTTTGAGTTCGGATTTATGGCTCCGCTTCAGGGTGAGCAGACCGGAGACATCAGTTCACATGTGCGCACCGCCAGTTTGTGCTCGCGTATTCCTGAGCCGTTCTTGTGGTCCGGCCTATGTAACTGCGGGAGTAATCACTGCAAACAAAATTATGCTACGCTGGCAGAATGTTGCTGCCGCAGCCCCAGTCGTTGGATGCGACAACTACCCCGCCCTCCCCCTTTATGAACGCATACACCGATGCTCTTCGTACTCGTGTGGGTCTCCGCTCGTAGTTTTTAGTAGGTCAAGCCGGAGAGCGTTCTGACGGCGGTCACATGTCCTGACTGAAAACAACTAGTAGCTTACACTGTCAACTCAGTGGGCAGCAAAGCCCTAGTGTCATCGAGTGTCAGGTTGCTGGTGTCGTCATGCGCGCTGTCGCCGCCGTTCCGAAACTTGCGCTAGAATTCACATCCCATCCCATCCCATGTTTGTTGGACTATCACCAACGCATTACTTTATGACAGCTGAAGTCGGCCGCATTCTCTGGCACCCTACAATAAATCCCATCTTGCCTGCAATCCCGTTTGAAGGCAATATCAGCGTACGAGAGTGGCAACCCTTGAAACGCATATTAGCCAATCTTTTGTGGTCACTTGGTTCCTATGTTACCTTCTTCGCCCAGTAGCCGCTCACACCGAACACCACTTGCAAGTGTTGGAGTTTAAACTGAACAGTCTCGTCTTCCAGCCCACTGCAATGCCCCTTGACCGTCCAGTAAAGCTTTTTTGCGTGGCCCATCCCTGCTAAGTCAATCGCTGATCGTTTGACCCACTCGCCCACCATTGCGCCGGATGCGTTTGCACTTCGTTCGCCGGGGCCGGCGACAACCGCACTACCTGAAAAAGCGGCGCCGACTTCCGCATTGTGAACAGGGCCTGCGTGTCACCGACTCCACTTTCTCCTCCCACGTCGATTTTGTGCAAACGTCGGGATGACTGGAGATTGCATAAGGCTCAGTTGAATCCTCTGAAGATCTTTCGGCAAATGGGCAACGTGACATCCCCACAGGAGCTTTTTCCGCCTGTTCCCTGATGGTCCCGTCAAGATAGGAGAGGCAGAACTCGACCGCCGGACGTCCACTTGATTCTGGAGTTTGAAGCGCTGTCAGGCGGCAACCCCTGCCCCCTTCAGAACCGATCTCAACTTTGGCGCCGGCATATGGGCAGACGAGAAAGAGCGTAGACAGCCGTCGAGCCTAGTATCGGCACTCCGAAGGAACCACAATTTGCATGTCGAAGTCCTCTGGCTTCACTTTGTCAGTTACTGATGGCGGCCACGCGGAGTGGGGGTCGACGCAGTCGTTTCCGACTCACTCATGGAGGACGAGTCTTCGGTGTAAAAAGAGCTCGGGCTTCGTCCTCCCTGGTTACCCAAACTAAGATATATCAGCTCCTGTAATAACCCATTGTAGTCTTAAACAACGACAGGCCCCGCAAGCCGGTGGGGCAAGGGGTGACACTGGCATGCGTGGTGCAGGAGTCAAGTGCCGCAGTGAACGACGATGCGGAATCCTCTGGGTCCCGACCTATGATATAACGAACTTACCGACAAAATGTGTTCCTACAACATGTGGCCAGAGTGTCTCGCGTCTAAGATTTGTTTCGGGTCGGCTAAAGAACGCCAGTTAAAGATAGCATGACGGGCCAAGTCTTCATCACAGACTGCCTAAAACTGGGCGACTTGCCCTGGTTAAATATACGCCAACCAGATGTCGCCAGAAGTTCGGGTAATTGTCATCGAATAACGCAATGTCACGGTCTAAGTCCTGACTCTCACTCTATCAATCAGGATAGTTTTTAGAAAACACCTTTAATAAGTAGGCATATATATGTATAATCAAGAGCTGCATACACAATTCTGAAATGTCTGTACAATGAGTTCAAATGTTTAGAAAATACACGTGGCCCTATATCGGCGGTGGAGGGACATTTGCGCCCTTGCGCGCTGAGCCGCTGCCTGAGTGAGGGGCATAATGACGCCCTCGGGAGATAAACTTAACGGACGGCATTCTATGTGAACGAATCATGCTGTTCCCACCTGTGGCCCGATTATCATCATCCTCCTCCTCATCGTCCATGGTATCATCAAGCATCGGGGGTACACGCTGGTGTGGATGGCGTACACCGGACATACTTCTACCCATTTCCTCGCCGCGTTGGTGTCGATGATGTGAGTGATGTTGCGAGTGGCGCTCCCGACTTGATCTCAGGAGGTCTCTGTCGTCATCAATATCTTCATCGTCCTCATCCACATCTTCCTCATCCAGGAGGTCATCCGGGTCGTCGTGGTCCAGGTCGCGCAACATGTCTCCGTCATCATCGTCGTCCCCGTGAAGCATGCCTCCAGTCCCGCCAGCAGAAGCAGAACCCATAGGACCGCGACTCGAACCTACGGTCATGTCCTCGGGCAGGCCCGTAGCACCTACACCCGATCCGGGCATTTGGGACGTCCGTGGGCGAACTTGAGCCTTAGGATTAAGAGGAAATTAGCAGGGGTTAGTATGCAGGATTTTGGCAGAACTCAATCCCTATAATTAGATGCTTAAGATTAACGAAAGAACACTCGTACACGGTCAGATGTGACCTCCCGAAGGCCTGCGTGTTAAGAATTCTGCTAGATGGTATCTTTGCCATATAAAAGTTGGCATTCTAACCTTGAATGATTGGTCTAAGCTGTTATTCAGTATCTTATTTAAAATACAAAGTAATCAAATTCGAACGAAGTGAGTCCAGCAGGACCGCCCGGTTTAAGCACACGGGTTTAATGACTTAGCAAGCTAGAGTGTAATCATTCGAGTATTTATTGACCAAAGCTTCCGCCTCGCGAGGTTCTTCTGCAACCACCTAGTAAAAGTTCCACACACCCAAAATAAGTAGATTTCATTGAAAAAAAACTAAACAAGGATAGGAAAGGGTCTAAAATGCAAATTTACCTTGCTAGCTGCTTCTATTACACGATCAACGGCTCTACCAAACTCCTCCAAAATAAGACGCTCTTGTGAGGCGGGTGGCAAATCACGACGCTCGGCGTCTTCAGCCTGAGCAAGAAGACAACTGGCCGTTGCTTCGATCGTCTCCCAAGTGAAGAATACGTGAGGGAGCCTATTTCGAGGGAAAAATTTAGGTTACAGGATGAGACGTTACAAATTTAAGCTGTTTTTAGACACAACTTATTAGGTACTGAGTTGTCAAAGATGACAATTTCCTTGTAAAATGAAAATATAGCGACTTACGTTTCTGGAGGTGGTTTAATGAGATGCTTTTTGAAAGCATTTGGTTGGCGAGACCTCAGTGAGCCCATGGCAGCCAGACGCATTAGAGAACGGCGTTCGATGCTGTCCTCTGTGTTTCGGCAACCTTGGCATCTGCAAAGATCGGAGCAGCTGATCTTTGCCTCATAGCACTCACAGTAATTCTTTAAACATCCAGATCGTTTACAATTGCAGCCTTTAGTGTGCTTCCTTTCACCCTCTCCACGGCCAATCTTGGGATGAAAAGCCATGGGGTTCCGTTCAAGAGTCATCTTGATTGCTCTGCCGCGTTCTTCCTCATAGGCTAGGTTGTTCATGCAGTTGTTGCAATTGCAATTTTGACACAGCTGTCCCTGAGCAAAGCACTCACAATAGAGCTTCAAGCAATGCGACTTCGTGCAGTTGCACGGTTTCCGGGGATTAGTTAGACTGCTCATGTTGGATGGTGCCGAAAGGGCCACATTTGGACCCATGAGATTTGGCATGGCTGCCATACCAGGCATGGTTGACTGGTTGAGACCGACTACCTGACCAAAGGACTGTGTCAACGGGCTTGCCATAAAAGTGCCGCCCGGCCCGACGACTGCAAATGAAACAAAGCAACATGCATATTAACAGAAAACACTGGCAGGTGAGTAACTTTGTTCTTTTGTTAAGGGCGATCAATAACCATAAGTGGTTATCATACAATAGATAAAAGTGTCTAGCTTTCTTCGACAAGTCGATAAGAACCGATGACAGACAAACTGAACTGGCAGTGTGTTGGTCAACTTCCTACAAATATACAGCAAGCCCTACGCAAAACAAACTGATCCGCAGCAATATGGAAACTGAACAATGTGAATACCACCTAGGTGATTCATGAAGGCGAGAGGTCTGTAAGACCCGAGAAAAAAGGGTAAAGATGAAAATAAATTGAAGAACTAACTTGTCATTTCCTGCGGCTTCCGCGCATATTGGACAGCAGTATTCGTATTAAGTTGCACAGCCGATGAAGTCAGCAGTGAGGGGACGGACATCTGATTAAATTCTTGCGGCTTTTGTTGGAAGATAACATGGCCACCTGGTCCCGCCTGTGCTGGGAAGGCCTGGTATACGTTTGCATGGCCCGGGAATCCAACTTTCTGTGGAATAGTTAGCTTCACGCTGATGGGCTGTTGATTCATTTTCCTAAAAAAAAAATGGGGGTTTGGGGATAAGGGCTCTTAAGAAGACGAAAATGCATGGTAACATGAGAATGGAGAAGGCTGACATCGTTTTGCAATCTTTTAAGGATAACATAAGGGACACCGGCCGGTCTGAAAACTAGCTTCTTTAATAGACGATCGAGAAGGACTGTAGGTATGTTCCCCGCTTGTAAGTAAAGACGCATAAGGAATGTCGGGCATGAAAAATGGGAGACTTGGGAATTTTCTTAAGGGAATGATTTGCGGGTGACGATGGCCATTCATTGTTTCTTTAGATGTCGACCAAGAGTCAAAAGGTCATAATGCTGCCCTTTCGTTGAGGTCCTTTAATGATATTTGTTTAGTGCTTACTCCACCCGCGAAACTGCCGCGTCACGGCTCTACGTCTGTCTGCTTACCGATTTTTCAACTAATTTACTGAATTGTCTTTAATCATCTCAGGACGTTCCACTACTCGTCAGCTGTGAACTTCCGCGAGAAACAGCAGACGAACAAACCTGGGAAGTCACAACTCGCGAAAATATCGGCGTAAGGCAAGGAAAGCCACAGGAAAGGCTGAATTACATATTTGCACAAGGTATTCTTAGCAGCATAAAAAACGTACGACATTTTGCGTGTTGTATAAGAGGTCACAAGACAGAGCGACAGACAGTAATGAAACCTGATACATAAATATGCATGACAAATTAGTTCTAACAACTGTGGGGAGCTCCAAATTCATCGATAACACAAATGCGACATGAGCAAAGGTGTCAGAAGTTCCGGGCCTTACACCTAATTCCCGTAAGGAGAAAAGCCTAATCGAGGCCGAGCGACTGTTCTAACTAACACTGCTGGGGAACGTCACAAGTGGACTTTCGGCTACGGGGGTGCGCCCCCAAGAGGGAGAACAAAACTCATGACAACCAAGCACCGAGATGCATTAGTCATCTTTCACATTGAAAGGCTAAAGCATACAGCACTTATGACTGTCATGCAGTCATAATCCACCATCTGACGTATACGAAAAAGGACCGAAATTATTCGCGTATAACGGCCCTTCAAGGGAAAAAATCGAAAGTCCATGTGGGGTTTTCAATTTGTTTTGCGTGCGCCAGAACAGGTGAAGAGTAAATACCTCAAAAAGCAGCTGTAAACCCATTTCAAGAAGCAACGCGCCAAAAAATCGAATTGAATTCGCGCGAACACTCACAATTTGAATGTGGAATCCTTCCCCCGAATTCAAAACTGAGAGTAAGACGCAAACTGTGTAGTAAAACAAACGAGTTTAAGATGAATGTTATGGTGTATTTTCTCTGGCATACACTTTATATCGACGGAACTGAAAAGAAATTTGTGCATTTGGCATAAAATGATTATATTTGGTATCTGTCCCTTTCTTGTTTTTGTGCCTCCAGTGAGCACCAGATGAGCACCAGTTAACTAAGGTTTTCGCTGACCATTTTTTATAATTATGAAAGACTAACAGCGAAAATCAGACTAGTCGCCTTTGAAGGCATAATTCTCTGTGGTGCAACTTCTAATGTGGGATTAAGCATATTCAAGCATTTATTTATGGATTCTTTTGGCGACTTCTGTCGATATTGAGTAATTAATATGGTACCCGTGCTCGCAGACCATGGGCCGTCCGTGAATAGATCAGAGCTTGAGTGCTGACACATACGGGAAAGATAGTAAGAGCAAAATATTGGTCCATGATCTGCTGGGCCCTTTCTTTCGTCTTTATACCTTCATCTTCCGAGGGCTTTCTATGCCCCTTTCGACGTCATGATCGAGAATAGAATAGAATAGGTTTATTATAGCGTCCCTTGGGCACTGTCCGTTTCCTTCGAACTCAGGAAAAAACCGAAAACTTAGTTAAGTTTCTCCTTTTTGTCGATATACAGAGTGAAATATATAATTATGTTCAGTAATCATAGGAAGCATTTTCGTCAATTTATTTCAGCTGTCTTCCAACGGTCCAATCAAGTTTTTAAGATTTACTGCAGTCAGCGTGGGTTGTGAACTCTCCTTCAAAGTCAGTTCGATGATTCAATTCTTATTTTAATTGGACGTTTGTAAATATTATGCGACCCTGCAAAACTGCGGGGAAATTGGAGTTGAGGCCATGCCCCGCGACTCAATTTCCATAATAAGTTAAGCTCCACACTTGGCCCGAAATTTCTCGACGGTTATCATGCAACTCCCGTCAATATTTTTACAAAAGACTATTTCCACACGATAGCGTAGTCTTCATTCATTTAAAAAGGCTTTTTCCCTTCTATTGTAATTGTGCTCGGGTGGTTTTATTGCAGTTTGCGTTCGGTCTACACTTTAAAGCGGTACCAACCTGCTTCTTCCTATTCACCCTGACAAATAAAAAAATATAATTTTTCCTTGCAAACCGAAAGATAACTGTGCCTTTGAGATTAAAATGCCGCGAAAGACATGTGCAAAATTTTACAGAATCACTCACGTTAAAGCTGATTTTATTGCTTTTCGCATGCGAACACGAAACTCAAAGGAGATAGCCTCATTTCTTTGATAAAATAATTCAAATTGACTATCGTCGAGTGCCAGAACCGAGGCCAGAGATAGAATAGATGCTTATTTTCTTTTTCCTCGTTCTCCAGATGTAGCTGTTCTCTCAAATAAAGAAATTATTGGTCAATATCTAGACCTTGAAGTTCTTGATTCTCAAGAACACACAGTATGGAATCCAGGGCAACATTTACGCTGGACTAAAGGTTTCTACCATCCAGGCTGTAAGGTGTAATTGTCGGAGGCTGGTCTTAGATGTTTACCAAAACATCAGTTCACTAAAGAAGTGGTTCGCTTAAAGAACTGGATATCCATAGACGTCCAGGTATCTGGAAAAGTTCGAACTTGCTTCCGTCCAAACGCTTCAAAAGATCCGTCCAAAATGCAACGAACACCATGTACTGAATTAGGCGTGTTTTCACTGTTTTTTCTCCCGAACCCTCGCGCGGATCTACGGTGCACCAGTTAGAACGCACTAAAATTCTGGATTACATGAATGAAAACGAGCAGTAAACTCGCCGAGCATGCGCAACGAAAGGGGACAAAATGGTGAACCCAAATATCTGCGCGAATTTGGCAGATATTCTATCTGCACGAGGTAACAAAGCAATTTAATTTGTATAACTTAAACCTAGGTCCTTTATGGTAAAGCATTCTGAGAGTGGGTAATTCTGAAAAATTATGGGACCAGAAATTTTGGCAGGACCAAAAAGACATGAAATTGCAATTGGATGATGAAAACTCCATCTGTCATGTTGAAATCCATCTGCGTAAGCGTAGTAAATCGGTAGTAATTTTTCAACACAAACATTTGTGGTGTCCTTAGAATATGAGTAAACACATTTGAAGTCATCGGCACAAATTAATGTTTGCGAGTTTCTGATTTCAGCCGATGTATCATTGATGTATAGAAGCGAGAGTAGCGGACCCAGAACTGTGCCTTGAAGTAAGCCATTCGTGATCGAGTGCTCTGTCGAGTAGCTATTACCAACCATGATTTTCTAGTATCCGTTGTATAGATAGGAGCCGACGAAGACGAGTAGAGAAGGCCGAATGCCGAAAGTTTCCAATTTTACTAAAATACGTCTATGGGACAATTTGTACAAGGCTTTGCTAGGATACATGATGATTAGAGCTCGAAAGTCGATCAGCCAGAATTGTTTGCATTTTTTATGCACTTAACGGTATTGCAATGGATTCTATGCTACCAAATATTTTGTAGGGGTCGCCCATCATGAACGGTCTCGAACGCCTTTTTAAAGTCGAATAAAATAAACTAAAAGTGTTTATTTAAGACCCGTGCTGAGAAGAACCGCCTACACAAAGCCTACGTAGATCACCCCACTGAGGACAACAAAGCTGCTTTCTACCGCAGTCGTCGCCAGCTTCAGCAACGACTGCGCGAGATGCAGGACGCTTGGACTGCTCGCAAAGCTGAGGAGATCCAAGGCTACGCGGACCACAACGAATGGAAGAACTTCTTCTCTGCGATCAAAGCTGTCTACGGTCCGCCGACGAAAGGCATTGCTCCTCTCCTCAGCGCCGACGACAGTACTCTCCTGACTGAGAAGACGCAAATCCTGCAGCGCTGGGCCGAGCACTTCCAAGGCGTCCTCAACCGCCCTTCCGCCATCTCCGACGCCGCCATCGAGCGTTCGCCGCAAGTGGAGACCAGCGCGGACCTCGATCTCCCGCCATCTCTCCAGGAAACCATCAGGGCCGTGCAGCAGCTATCCAGCGAGAAAACACCATGGACGACGAGCGACTACCCAAACGACTCTTCTACGGAGACGTCGCGACGGGTTCTCGTCGTTAAGGAGGCAAAATTCGCCGTTACAAGGATGCCCTGAAGTCCTCCCTGAAGCGACTGCAAATCAACCCGACCAACTGGGAAGAGCTCGCCCGAGATCGTCCAACATGTAGGAGAACAGTGAAGACGGGCGCTGCTATCTATGAAGCCAACCGAATCGCCGCCGCCAAAGCGAAACGCGAAGCCCGCAAATCACAACTTCGCCCAATGCGGAACGCCGCCGCACAACCGCTTCCAACGTTTTCTCGATGTCAACGGACATTCCGGGCTCGAATCGGCCGTTGAGGCTGCGTCTCACACATCACCAACCCCAGCACAACAACCGACACCACCCGCACCTCTCCCGATTCCAGTGATGAGGATCAGGACTACACCTGCCCTCACTGCGACCGTACCTTCACCTCTCGCAACGGCCTGGTCGGTCACTTGCGAATCCATCGCACAGAGACTGGTGAACCAGTGCCCGGAGCACCAACCTACACCCACCGCACTCGCCTCCACTGCCCACACTGCCCTCGCACATTCACGCATCGCATGGGACTATTCGGTCAGATGCGCATCCACGAGAGCGGAATTGACCGCAGCCTTGACGCACCCACCCCGCCGAGCCCCACTCCCAATCCATCACCTTGTGCACCCACTAACCACTCCCCAGCCGACATCGACGCCACGGACTCTACCACCTTTAACTCCTCCCCTTCCTCCTCCTCTTCCTCCTCCTCTTCCTCCTTCACTGCCACAACGACGGCCACTCCGGCGTCTGTCGCGCACGCCATCGCCACAGCCACACCTGACACAGCAACACTCATATTCCCTGCAACCTCCGACATCAGAGGTGAGGACTAGGACTACACCTGCCCTCACTGCGACCGCACCTTCACCTCACACATCGGCCTGGTCGGTCACTTGCGAATCCATCGCACAGAGACCGGCGAACCAGTGCCTGGAGCACCAACCTACACCCACCGCACTCGCCTCCACTGCCCACACTGCCCTCGCACCTTCACGCATCGCATGGGTCTATTCGGCCACATGCGCATCCACGAGAGCGGAATTGACCACAATTCCGATACACCAACCACACCCATCATGCCCAGCACCATCCACGCACCATCCGTCTGTACCTCCACCAACGCCTCCTCTGGACCTGACACTGACACAGGTAACTTCACATGCCCACACCGTCCACGCACATTCAGCTCACGCATCGGCCTGGTCGGTCACTTGCGAATCCATCGCACAGAGACTGGAGAACCAGTGCCTGCAGCACCAACCTACACCCACCAAGGTCGTCTCAACTGCCCACACTGTCCTCGCACTTTCAGGCACCGCATGGGTCTACTCGGTCACATGCGCATCCACGACGATCTGCGGTAGACAACCGCCGGCCACACCACACATTCACACACCCCCTACCCTCCTCCACCATCACCACTACGCATCAACACTCACCCACTGCATGCACCAGCTGCCACCTTCCACGCAAGTGGGAAGTGTGCATCTCGACTAGGTCCCCATGCGGCTTCGGGTGCACGGGTGACTTGAGTCCGAGACTATCCCGACACGTCAAGTGTCGTGGATAGGAAGGTTGCTGATTGACGCCCGCTCTCGGTTCACGCAGTTCGTCACGTTGTGTGTGTGTTGTGTGGAGTGGCGGATTGGTTGGCTGGGAACGGACTGAAGTAGCACCTTCCACGGCCCTCCCACGCAAGTGAGAGTGACGCCTTTCAACCCCCGTTGTGTGAAATCCTGCTGTTTGTGTGTATGGGGGGCCAGGTCGTGCTATGGCGCGCACAGGCATGGTCAGTCGACCGTGTCAGCCACGGCGCCCATTTCCCACCCCAGTTTGCCGACCGGCTCGGACGGCGGCTGGGGTGCGGAAATGGGAAGGGAGAGTGAGGTCGACGACTCAGCGCACTTTTTCCTCACTATAATCAATCTGACGCGCTTGAAGCTATCACGGTGCGCTAAAAGCCGTGGCTTGGAAGGTTGCCAACTGTCGGGGTACCTTGGACCTCCTCCTTAACCGGAGGCGGTGTGAGAGTCAGGCTGCAATGGCTCCTTTTTAATGTTGCCTTTATGGCACTCTCACCACATTGTGGGATCCGCGCCAGGCGACGGCGGCACGCCCAGGTGCGGCTTCGGCCGTGCCAGCCTCCAAATCTCTGTTGTGTTGGTTGAAATCCTGGTTATTGTTGTGTGGACCAGGAGGTGTGGTGGAACGCCTAGGTGAGGATCCGTCCGAGCCATCCACCTGCGGCCTCCCTCGTCTCCGGACTTCTTGACTCTGTCTTGACACCGGGCTCAGGCGGGGGAGGAGGAGAGAGTGTCGGTAGATGCAGCGCAAGTCTACTGGCACTATAAACCACTGCGCAAGTCACCGTCCCTGCTTCCACCTGGTGTGGGGCACACGGTGGACATCATCGAAACCGATGGTCGAGCTGTCGGGGGTCCGATCCTAGTAAGAATAAATTGTTACATTAATTTTAGTAAAGGCAAACAGAACCTATAGAATACTTAATTCGTGGTTATTGAATAGGTGGTCTGTTACGAAGACTGGTGATTGAGCAATGAAAAAAAACTCCACTATCTAATTGACGAAATAAATATGACTGGATTCATGTTATAGGAGAATAAAACGGTCGCTCTTAAAGTGACAAAAAGCGGGCAGGATCTGCCTGCATGTGGCAGTGTATAACGGATTTAATGAAGGGGTAAGTGTGAGGGTCAGACAGGACTGACCTGCATGCGGTATTGAGTAAAAGGTTTGAAACGGATATCATCGAGGCAGAATTCATATGACGGTTGCGGCTATTCACGTAAAAGTGGCGAGAAGAGTGGAACACAGACGCGATCGGTCACAATCAGCTTCGAGTCCAGCCGAGGAGGAGACAAGGGAGATGCGACTAAACTACTAGTGGATGGTGAATACAAAGTGTTCCATCGTGAGCGTCGACAGACAGCTTGAGGTCGAGATAAGGAGATGACATCAAGAGTCGCAAAAATCAAGGATTACGGGGTGATGGTTCAAACTCGCAGGGATCAGAGTGAAATTCTCCTGAGTGTCGGGGAACAATGAAACTGAGGCCGCTTGGAGCAGGCACGTCAACCTAGCCAAGATATTTCTTTGAGAGAATTTGCTAGGAAGGATATCGCACTCTCTGGCGGGCACGATGTATGAACTAAAAAATCGAAAGAATTAGCATTTCAGATGAGGGATCCTAGGAAGGGATATTACACACAAAAGAAGGAAATGTCAGCAGATACGGAAATTTAATGGTGGCGTCCAAAATTCCCGATGACCCTTTCTTGAACTCATAGAGAGAGTTGTCCGGGAAGGACGAGGAAAACAAAAGTTTAATCGAGTCTCTATGCAGATAGAGGCGCAGTCCCCTCTTAATAGTATGTAGATTATCTAATGATCTCATATTTATTGGAAGGTTGTTCCAGAGAAAATTATACCTGAAAGCGAAGAGAGAGAGAGAGCGCTTAGAGGTGGGGGAAGCAGAAGGAGGTGTAATCAAGGAAGAATTGAGAAGATTGTATGGGCAATTACTAGGAGTAGGTGCTAAAATCCGAGGAAGATTTGAACTACTATTAATGCGAAAGAGGAGACAGAAGTCTACTTTCAGTCTTCGAACCCATAAAAATTGTAGGTTAGTTATCTGGCATCTATCTGAATAGGAAATATTTGGATGTGTCTTGCTTAAGAACTTACTAATAAAATCCTTTGGATATTTTCACTTGTAGAACGACTAGCCTCGTTTAGTAAACCAAAGAACGGTCAGAAATATTCAAAAAGTGGGAAGTACAAATATTCGATATTCTTAGTTGAATTTCGGGAGATAGAAATTGTGTGGAAATAAGGCCACAGATCTTGGCAGCCTTGGTCGTAATCATATCGGCGTGTGGTGAGAGATCTAGATTATTGGTGTAGCTAGAACCGATGTCCTTAATGTTGGCACATGCAGTCATAGGTGCCCCCTTGAAAGACCACTGGTTGGTGTAGCCTTTCAGGCTGAAAATACGCATATTGACATTTAGACGGAGAGAATTCCATTAGCCATTTTGAGCTCCCCGCTGAAACTCCAGGCATGTCAGCATGGATTTGCCCCAGGCAATGAGTGATCGTAGATTTATTGAAAGAATATACATACCTGCGATTGTCGGCATAAATATCTGATTGAGAATGTTTAACTGCCGACGAGATATCATTTATGTAAAGCAGGAAAAAAGGGGACCTGAAACGGTACCTTGTAGGACACCACTTACAATAGGGCTGTCATTGGAAAATGAAGATCCCACTAAAACCTTTTGTTTGTGATTATTGTCGATAAGAGGACTGTGGCGTCCCAGAGCTTCTAATGTAACCAAGAGTCTTTTACATGGCACCTTATGACATGTTCACAAGCGCGATCTGGTAAAAAAAACCAAGCGGAGAAGGGGTAAGATCTTGATTGGCTGAACATAGGTCAGCAATTTTCACGGCAATAATTTTTCAAAGATTTTTACGAGCGAAGGTGTTTTATGGACGCGTCAATAATTCTTAACGTCAGAACGACAGCCAGACATAAATACCGGAATAAACATAGAAGTTTTCCAATAGTCAGGAAAGAAGCCATTTACGATAAATACTGAAAAGAGTTTGCTAAGCACAGGAGGAAGATATCTTAGCTGTCTTATAAGAGAGTTCGGAATATTGTCCGCACTACTGAGTGCGAGTTAGCAGGCTGGTTTATCAGATTTTGAATAGCTTCAGGGACAAAATTAATGGTGGTGAGGGAGGCATCAGACATCTGAGGAATTGAAGGGACTGGGTCAGTTTTAAGGGTGAAGTGTTTGACAAAGAATGAATTTAACATTTATACTCTACCTGACTGCTCTATAGTGAAAGTATCGTTGGTACTAAGCAAAGGTGGAAAGACTTGGTGGGATTTAGCTGATGATCTTTGACGGAAGATCTGGGCAACTGATTTCGAAACATTCACTCCATTGATAGCTAAAGACCATCTACGCCTAGTTCGCGCAAGCCTCATTTTCGAAGATAATTCATATATTTCAACCTTTCTAAAGTGAACTTTTAATGAGCTCATGGAAGGATATTTAAGCTGCTTCTGTAGCTTTTTAAGTCTGTTTTGAACAAAAGTTGGAAAAGTGGTGGAGTTGGCACCCGATTTAAACGTCTTCCGTGGAACAAGATCGAGAAGACCTTCTGTTACGCATTGTAATAAATTGTTAAGGAATTTAGATAATTATTTATAAAAAATATTGTGCCAATTAACAGTGCTTTTAAAATTACTTTTTACTTCCTTGTTAACATTAGCATGGCCAAAAAAGCTACGTTTTACTGTTGGCTTTGAGGAAATGGCAACTGGAAGACGACGAATTTTATTCATTTTCCTGCGAGGAAAGGCTTCTCGCAAGACATGAGTATCCACGACGAAATCCGTACTGATCAGCACATCTTTGATTCCTCTGCTTCACGTACATCACTAAATTTTATCTGTTAACTCGTTCCCAAACCCTGCGCAAAGTGCAGGTTAGAACAATAGAACCCAGTTTTGACCATCCTTTGTACATTGGAAAAATAAGGGCGTTTTTCCCTTCCTCCGGCAGTCCACCCTCTTCTTTGGACTTATGGATATCATAGGCACCGGCTCGCACAGTACGTCGACCGATTCCCAAAGGGAATCTGGATGAATTTTATCTAGACCTGATGATACGGTTGGTTTTGATCGACGTAGTTCGGTTCTTATCAACATGGGTGAGAGGTTAATTTAATTTATTAAATGCCAGGTTACAGGCATTGTCAAGGGAAGCGATTAAACACAAATCCGACCAGCAGTGAAAAAAAAACTCCTGAAGAATAAAAATATAGTTGATGATGGTTTTTATGGTTCGAAGGGTTCAGGAGAAAAAAAACTGCTGGCGGTAGATTTTCGACCGTCAAGAAAGGGGGGAGGGGGTTGCACGGTATCGGAGATCATCGGACGTCAATTCCTTTCATGAAGTTGGAGATAGTCAAAGTAGAGGCGTTGAGGAACAGCTGGTGAGACGGGCCATAGAGATCAGAGACCACAAGCGCCATCGCTACGGTAGAGTCGATCAGTGGATTCAGAACCCAAAATTTGAGGAAGCTTTTCTGAATGCCAAAAATCGAGTAATAGTTCTCTTAAATAAAGGATAATTTTGCAGAGTTTTCATACTCATTGGTAGTTTATTCCAAATAGCAATTGCATTTACAGAATAGAACCGACGATACTTAACAGTACGTGCCAGACGAAATAATAAAAAGACCTCACGGTGACTGTTACGTCGTGGGTGGATATGATGTCTTAAAGAAGTGAGCGGGTTAAATGTGTTATTATATAAGAGTTTAAATAGCAAAAATAGTCCCTTTTGTAATCTACGGAACCATAAAGGATCAAGGCCCGTAAGGTTAAGATTGTCTTCTAACTCAAAAGATGAAGTATTTCGTTGCTAGCCTGTTTAAGGTATGGGAGGGGATTC